AGCGTCGCTCACACTTGATAGCGAAGGGTGGAGTGGGTGGTGGTGGTGGGGGGGGGGGGGGGGGCTGGACTGGGGTGGAGTGTGGTGCACAGCGGGTAGGTGCGGTAGTGACTGGCTGGCTGACTGGCTGGCTCTTCGGCCGTTTTGGTTGTCGGTCAGTTGGCCATGGGCCGCAGCCGCCAGCCGCAGTCACCGGTTGCTCCCACGGCGCCTGCCAAGACGAGGGGGAGGGGGGGGGGGGGGGGGGGGGGGGCAGCTGCTGCCTCGATCGATGGCGATGGCGAAGGCGGTGGCGATGGCGGTGGCGGTGACGGTGGCGACCAGTGATCAGTGCAGATACGGGGCTAAGAGGGGAAATTGTGAGGCGGATGGGGTTGGGGTTGGATACGACGATGTGAAGGGGGGGATGGGGGTCGGTGCTGGGGGGAGGGGGCCTTCGGCAGGCGAGTGCGACACCGAGACCCAGGTCGAGACCACCGAGGACGAGACTGAGCCAACACCTCACCGCTGCTCATTCCAGGAGAGTGACCCAGGAGAGTGACCCAGGAGTAGAGGCATGGATCTGCTGCGTGGGGCGGTGCCGGTGGACGCAGAGACGGCAGAGACGGTACAGGCGGGCCAAGGCTCGGCGGGCGAGTCGGGCGAGTTGGACGGGTCGAACGGGTCGGGCTTGTCGAGTACCACGGTCACGGTGCCGGCAATGGTCCGCGAGTGTGCGGTGGCAGGTGGGGGGACCGTGGATGAGGACGAGTACCAGCGGAGGTGGGAGCTGAGGCGGCAGCGCAGGGAGGAGGCGGCGCAAGCGGCGCTGGCCGCAGAGCTCGAGCGGAGCAGGCGGAGAGAGTACGAGCGCATCCGCCAGATGCGCGAGATGCGCCGTAACCTGGCGCTGCTCGACGACGGCGATGACCAAGACGACGATGACGAGTCTGACGATATGTACTCGAGCAGCGGCTCGGAAGTAGAGGTTGGGGTAATGGGGGGCATTGGCGTCGCTGATGGCGCCGCGGCCTCGCCGGCACAGGCTGCGGCACCAACCACACCGCAAGCAACACGCCCGCTCGTCGCGCTCTCCGCCTCGGAGGTCGGCGACTGGCTGCTCGGCCTTGGACTGGACGACCTTGTTCCGGTCTTTGCCGAGCATGCCATCGACGGAGCGGCTCTCCTCGCGCTGAGCGACGCCGATCTCCGCGACGACCTCGGGCTCAAGCTGGGTCCGCGGCGCAAGATCACTGCGGCCCGCTCCGGACAAATGGTTGGTGCAGGCAGCCCAGCCGGAGGCAGTCCAGTCGGATCACTGCTCTCGAGGTCGTGGTCGGCGAGCCCGCTCGCGTCGCCGGGTACCTCGCTCCGTGTCAAGCTGGTGTATGTGGGCGACGACGGCGGCTCGGTTCGAGTGCATGCCATGTCGTTGCCGCATGATGTGCACTTTGATGAGGTGCTGCAAACAGCAAGTGCCGGCGCTGGCCTGGATGCACACGTCGCACTCTCCTACGTCGATGAGGACGGCGACGTTGTCGGGCTTGCATCGGACCTTGACTGGGCGGCTGCGCTCGACTGGTTCATGGCGCAAGCAGAGGTGCGGACGCTTCGCATCCAAGTTCACGTCGTCAGTACCTCGCCGTCCCCCCATTGTCGTCGCCGTCGCCGTCGTCGCCGGCCTCGCTGGGTCGTGACATAGAGTACTCGCTGGGTGCCAAGATCGGCGAAGGCGCGTTCGGCAAGGTCTACCTAGCGCAGGATGCGCGGACTGGGGCGCTGCTTGCCATCAAGCAAGTCGAGCTGAAGGACGCAAGCACGCTGGCGCGATCTGTGGCGGCACAGCTCGATAAGCAGCTCGAGGCGCTGGAAAAGGAGGTCGAGATCCTAGGCCTCGTCGGCGATCACCCAAACATTGTGCGGTACCTCGGGACGCGACGCGAGGGCGCCACCATCAATGTCATGATGGAGTATGTATCGGGCGGCTCACTGCATGCGCTTATGCAGAAGATGGGTGCTTTTCCCGAGCGGGTCGTCGCCGGATACATTGCGCAGGCGCTGCGCGGGCTCGAGTACCTGCACGCTCGCGGCATCATCCACCGTGACCTCAAGGCGTCGAACCTGCTGATCTCTGCAGAGACCAACGTGGTCAAGATTTCTGACTTTGGCACCTCGCGAGTCCTCGCCGGCCTCTCGCAGCAGGGCTCTGTCGTCGGCGCACGGACCTTTGTCGGCACACCGTGGTTCATGCCGCCCGAGGTCGTCCGGCAGTCGCCGTACGACACCTCGGCCGACGTGTGGTCGCTAGCGGCGACCGCCGTTGAGCTTCTCACCGGCAACCCACCGTTCCACAATCTAGAGCCAGTCCAGGCCATCTTTGCCATCGGTCGATCGACTGGTCGGCCGGTGTTCACCCCGCTCTCGCCGCTCTCGCCGGCCTGTGACGCCTTTCTCGACGCCTGCTTCATCGTCGACGTCGAGACCCGCGCCACCGTACCAGACCTTCTCGCCCACGACTGGCTTGTCGCGGTCTCGCCGCTCCCCTCGCCGTCCCTCTCTCCGCCAACCTCCAGCTAGCTTCTTCGGCGCAAGCAAAACGATCGCACCATTGCATTGCCCGCCAGGTCGGGTGCACAGTTTGGCTTGACTCGGCTGACGCGTCCGTCTGCGCCGTGCCGAGCCCGGTCCACGGCTAGAACCAAGACCTTGATGAGGTCGAGGACAAAGGCCCACACTCCTCCCCAACCTCCCATCCGTCTGCCATGGCTTCCGACCCGTACTCTGACGCCGCCCTCGCCCAGCACCAGGGCTTTCAGTACGAGCGCTACGAGCCCGTCCAGCAGGGTCCGTCCTGCCCCACGGTACGTCCAGTCCTTCCCCTCCCTCCGGCCACACATACACACACACACACACACACACACACACACATACACCACGTACACTTACCCTCCCTCCCTCCATCCCTCCCTCTCCCCGCAGCAAGCTATGTACGGTGCCATGATGGGTGGTGCGGTCGGCGTCTCCTTTGGCGTCCTCTTTGGTGGCTACACTGCCTTTGCCAACCGCATGGGCATGGGCGACTTTGTCCGTTTTGTGGGCAAGGCTGCTGCTGGCTCTGGCTCCACCTTTGCCGTCTTTATGGCCGTTGGTGCCTTTGTCCGCTGTGAAGAGGAGCGCATCGCCAACGATGCTGCTTGGAGCCACCACGCTGCTCGCGTTGCCGACGCCATCGACGTCATCACCGCTCTCCGCACTCCCGACGCCGCACGCATCATGCTCTAGGTCGGCGCACTTCCTGTGGCTGCCGCTGCCGGCATCCTCTTTGCCTGTACGCCAGCCAACTTGCCGGGCTTGTGGCTAGACGCTGTGTCTGGCCCCGCTTCGCTCTGCTTTCTGCCACGCCGTCCCGTCGCCGCACCCGAGCGCCCTGTTCATGTCCTCCCGTGCCGACCTTGTTTGCGCGCATCCTGTCGGACCGTGCCCCGCGTACGTCGTGGACTCGCCACCCGCCGCGCGGTTACCTGCTGCGCGATTGTCGACCGCGCCGATGCCTGCCGGACAATTACACACCCCCTTGAAGCTGCCAGCCATGGCTCCCCTTCCTCTCTACACACACATGCCCAGCACATGCACCCTCTGACAACCATCTCCCCCCTTCCTTTCCCTCCCTTTCCCATCCACGCTGCATCGCCTCCAAAACGAGCCCTCGATCAGGTAGGCGGTCGGTAGCCACAGAGCCAAAGACAGCAAAGTCGGAGCAGACAGTGGGCCGACGTCCAACAGCAGAAACCACAGCCAGCAGCCACAGCCACCGCAACAGCCACAGCCACAGCCACAGCCACAGCCACTCCACTCCACCTCCTCGCCCACACCCACACCCACACCCACACCCACACCCTCACCCACAATGCAGAATATGGAGGTGACCCCCCTGGGTGGCCCTCCCGGTCGCGGCAGCGAGAACGCCGGCGGTGGCTCGGGTGCCCTTGCCGAGCTCACCACTGCCCAGCTCTACGGGTACATCATCGAGCAGCTGGTGGCCGACGGGTACTCCCAGGTCGCCATGGCCGTCTCGGTCGCCTCGGGTGTGCCTGCACAGGCCTCGCTCCGTCGCCCTGGTGGTGACGGCGAGTCCGGCCGCTCGGCAGAGGCCGCCCTCGGCCCCACCTCGGGTCAGCAAGCCTCTGGCCCAGAGGCAGACGGCGAGTCCTCCTCGCTCTTCGAGCTGGTGGCCCTCGGCCTCAAGGCCAAGCACACGGGTGTGCTGGACAAGCTGACTGCTGCAGGATCGGTCAACCTCGCCCTGGACGAGTCCATGAGTACGTGTACCGCAGGAGAGGCCAGGAGGGCGGGCACGGGCAGAGTGGCCTTGTGCAACATCCGGAAGAGGAGGGTGCCGGTCGAGCCGGGAGTGACTCACAATGGTGCGGGGGAGGGATAGAGCGGACCATGGCCGAGCCGGCGCCGGGCTACATCTCCAACTACGTGTCCAAGCACAACGACGCGGTGCTGGCCACGGCGTTTTCGCGCGACGGTCTGTATCTGGCCACGGGCTCGGCGGACATGTCGCTCAAGCTGATGGATGTGGCGCGGATGAAGCGGGTGCACACTACGGGACATCGCGAGTTTGGCCGCAACCCATCGAGTCATCCGGTGGTGCAGACGTTCTACGACCACGCGAGCGCGGTGCTCGACCTGGCCTTCCACCCGTTCCAGCCCATCCTGGTCTCGGGCTCGGGCGACTGCTCCATCAAGCTGTTCAAGACGACGACTGGTGTCAACCGGGCGTTCTCTGTCATGCAGGACGCGCACGCCGTCAACAGCCTCGCTTTTCACCCGTCGGGCGACTTTCTGCTCGCCGGCACGGCCGACGCCGCCCTTCGTGTCTACGACATGGAGACGCACAGCTGCTTCATCTCGGCTGACACCGACAACTTCCACACCTCGGGCATCAACTCTGTTGCTTACGATAACTCGGCGAACCTGTACGTCACCGGCTCCTCCGATGGCTCGATCAAGGTCTGGGACGGCGCCAACGCCACGGTGGTTAACACCATTGCCGGCGGCCACTCGGGCGCGCCGGTCACGTCGGTCCAGCTCTCGTCCAACGGCCGCTATCTCCTTAGCTCTGGCCTCGACTCGACGGTTCGCCTCTGGGAGGTCTCCACCGCCAAGTCGGTCCAGGTCTACAACCAACATGTCGCCACCATGCCGTCGCCGGCCACCTTTAACTTTCACGAGAAGCACATTCTTGTCTCTGACGAGGCCCGCGGCGGCATCGCCATCTACGATGTCCACACCGCGCAGATCGTGTCAACGCTGCCTGGTCACAAGCAGCCGGTCTCGTCGATCACAGCCTCGCCCACCGAGGATGCGTTTGCCTCGGGCTCACTTGACAACTTTGCCCGCTACTGGAGCGCCTAGCGTACAATAACAAACAAGCACACCCGCTCAGCTCTTACTCATTGTACACCACCATGTCTGCGATGTGGAAGTGGTCCGACCACAGCGCCCGGAGCACATCCACGAGGTGCCGCATGTCGCGCTCGCCGCCGCCCTGCAGTCGCCACGACACATCGCCGCTCGACTCGTCGACGGCACCGGGCACAGCCTCCTCCACGAGGAACGAGAGGTCCAGTCGCGTCGGCGCAGAAGCGTACACGTCGGCCTCGAGCAAATCCTTGATCTCGATCGCCTGGTAGAGCGCAAACTGCTGTCCGGGCTTGGCCTTGTCGGCCTTGGCGAGAACCTTGTCGAACGCCGGAAGCGGGTGGACCGTGAACGCCTCGTTCAGCAGTACCAGCCAGGTGTTGGTCAGCACGAGCGTGGCGTGGAACGGTGCCTTGATCTTGCTGGACTTGTCAACGTCTCGTGGTGGGAGGACAACCACAGAGAGCACCTTGCGCAGGTCAAGCTGGACCTCGGACATGATGCCGGTAAAGATGGTGGTGGCAAGCGCGGCCCGGACATCCGGGGCGTTTTGAACCAGAGGCACATGCCGCGCCACCTTGTGCAGCGTCGCGCTCAGCTGCCGCGTCGCCTCGGCGCAGCCGGTGATGATCGCGTACGAGGTCTCCGGTGATAGCTCCAGACGGAGACTCTGTCCAAACGCGCCGACTCGGACGGCGGCGAGGCTCGCAATGTCGATCTTGTCGAGCTCGACAAGACCGTCGATGAGGTCAGCGTCGCCCTGGGTGAGCGACTCGGTGAACGGTGACGATTTGGACCACGACTTGTGGCCGAGAAGGAGGACCGAGGCTGTTGTGACAATCACGCCAGCCCAGCGCGTCACGTTGCCCGATGCGCTGAGGCTCCACTTGGCGAGTCGGCCCGGTGCAAAGGCGAGAATGTTCTCAGTCTCGACGTCGATGATGTGCAGCTGGACGTGGAGCTTGAGCGCTGACTGGAGTGTCACGTCCCAGCCGAGATCAAGATAGCCGGCGTCGGCGCGGGCCTCGGCCTCGGACCGCATGCCCTCGTCATAGTCAACCGGTGTCACCGGTTTTGGTGGCGGTGCCTCGTCAGTGTGCACAACTGCGGCGTCGCTGGACGCTGAGCCGACACGCGGCGATGCTGCGTGGCCTGCTGCAGACGATGATGCCGCAAAAGAGTGGGCCGATGCCTCGGATGCCACCGACGAGGCCATGCCCGAGCTCGCTCCGGCGCCTGCAGTAGCACCCGGGATGGCCAGTGGCGCCGTCGCCTCAGCTACCGCTGGCTGTGCCTCCTCAAATGCCTCGACAATAAAGTCGGAGCCGCAGGTCGGGCACATGTCGCGAAGCATAGCCTTGGTCGTGTCGGCATACGTCGCCGAGCACTTCAGACACTTGACGGTAGCGTGGAGAACAGCGAGCTCTGGGTTGGCCAACGAGTTGAGGAGGTCGACAAGCTCACCAACGACGTCGGCCTCAACCGCATACTCGACTGTCGACGCCACGCCGCGGTCCCTGCGGAACTCGAGCTGGACTCGCGAGCCCGAACGTGCCGAGAAGGTTGAGGCTCGGTAGAGGTGCTCGAGGTTGTGGGTGGCGACGACTTCGGCGTCGGTCACGTCCATTTCCGAGATCTTGCCGCGGGTAACAATGAGAATGAGGGTCTTGGCCGCTGAGCCGGTGGTCTCCACCAGAAACTCGCCTTGAGTCGAGCCGTCGTCGGATGACGCATCCGCCTCCGACGACTCGGCACCGGCGTCTGGCGCGGTGGCAAGCCCATCGTCACCAGCGATCGATTCTGCCGAGCGCATAGAGCTGGCAGTCGAGGGATGCGAAGTCGGCGGCGTCCCGTCGCGCGGCAGCAGTGTCGGCGAGCGGGGTGAGATGGCTGGTGAGCGCGGTGAAGCCTCGGAGGAGCGACCGCCAGGCGGTGGCAGCGGCAGGGCGTCAAAGGCGGCATCGTTTGGTGCCGGCAAGTGTGACCCGCTCGTTCGCGACGTGCTTGACTTGGTCTCATCCGACGGAGCAGGAGTGGCCAGCTTCGCCTGTGCGTCTTGCATCAAGGCCGAGAGCGAGGTCGATCCCGAGCGGCGCGACCGGGTCCGGGAGCGCGAGCGCGAGCGTGACACCGACGGCGACGGCGACGAGTGGCCCGAGTTTGCCGAACATTCCTTGCGCTTACGCCTCTTGCGCTTCTTTCGCCGGCTCCTGCCGCTAGTAACGAAAAAGCCGTCCTTGGAACGCGCTTCCGACCGCGACTTGCGCTTGGCCACAACCAGCTGTGGCGAGCTGAGCCCGTCGGGCCGCGTCGGCGACGAGGACGCGACCGTGGCATAGGGATCGGCAACAAGCCGCGGCGAAGTGTGGGAAGCGGCCAACCGCTGCTCGCGGCGATCACGTTCGAGCTGGGTGAGAACCACCAGCCAGTTGTCTCCGTAGCGAGCCTTGATGTCCTCGACCTGGCGCTTGAACTCCTGCGTCGACTCTTTGAGCTCGGTCGAGCTCGACAGTGGCACCGGGAGCGGAGCAGTAGCAGTTGGCGCGGCAAGAAGAGCGGGAGTAGCAACAGACGGCCCCGAATAGCCTTGCGGGGGCGAGGAGGCCACGCGCGGGCGCGGCGCCGGAACATCGCGAATAGCGGCAACGCGGGCGCGCGGAGACGACGATATCAGAGCTGGGGCTGGTGAGCCCGAGGCGGCGCGACGGTGAACCTCACGTGATGCTGAGACAACCCGTGAAACAGCTGCGGCGTCCGAGGACGACAGCGGGGCGCCGTCGAGCGTCCGCAGCGACTCGGAGCCTGCAAGCTCAAACTCGGCAAAGGTGGCGACACGAAAGTCAGTCCGCGCTGCCACAGGGTTGCCGGCCAACCACAGCGCTTCAAGGCATGGCAGAGCGGCCAGCCGCGAGACCTCGTCGAGGGAGACAACCAGGTTGAGGGCAAGGTCGAGCGACTCGAGCGCGTAGAGCTTGCCGAGGCCGGCCAGTGAGCGGATTGAGTTGGAGCGAAGCGAGAGCGACCGCAGATTGCCGACTTGAGTGTGGACGTTGGCAAATGAGGTGATGGCGTTGTAGCCAAGGTCAGCAGTGTGGAGGTAGATGCACTCCTCGAGGTGCTCGATGGCGGTCAGCTTGTTGTGGCTGAGAACGAGGACTTCCAAGTAGGGAACGGCCAGTAGCGCCCGCTGGTCAATCCGCTCGAGCCCAGCGTGGGTTATGGTAAGCTCGCGGAGGCGTGGCCAGACGACCTCGCGAACCTTGCGGATCGGCGAGCCGATCTGCGCCGATGGTGAAGGTGGATCCGAAAAGGCCTCGCCGTCACCGTTTCCAGCGCCATGCTCGGCCGCCGTGGGCGACGGCAGCGGCGAAGCAAAGACCTCAACGCCATGCAACGGCAAGTCGACAAGCAGCTGGTCAAGCGCAAAGCGTGAATGGACCGGGAAGGGCAGGGCAGGACCCTGATCTGGATCCGAGCGACCGCCCGAGCGCGGAGCAGCGACGACGAGGGTCAGCGCGCGAAGCTGGACAAAGACTTCGTTGAGGTCAGCAAGCTGGCGTGGGAGCACGTTGTCGGCATGCAGTCGCTCGAGCGAGTGGAACATGCCCATGGCAACTGGGTGGTCTGCGGCGATGTGTGCAGCATGCGGCGGAGGATGCCGCGGACCAGCGACATGAAGCGAGGGCAACTTGCGAACAAAACGGTCGATGACCATCATGGCATCAGCATCCCCATACTCCCTGCATGACTCTGCACCATGTTCGTGGAACATGTACAGCCGTCCGTTGAGATAGGCCAGGCACGCCGGGTTGACGGTAAAGGGCGCCGCTCCACCGACGACCTCCTCACCATGCTCGGCCACAAACCGCTTGAGCGAGGAGATGAACACATGCCCGTTGACCTCACCAGACATGATACACAGCTGGCTGCGGTGGGGGGGGGGGGGGGGCTGGTTGGCTGGGAAGTGCCCCTGGGAAGGGCCGGGGTTGGTCCAAGTGGGGTGGTGCCGTCGTGCCCATGTCGTGGTGGCAAGAGTTGTGCGAGCGGAGCATGGCGACGGTCCGACCTGGTCTCTGCGCTCCGGGGAAGGGAGAGGGACGGGGCGGCAGGCTGGGCAGGCCACCTGACTGCCGAGCAGACAGGCTGGCGTTGGTAGCCGCAGACAGGCTGTGGCGAGAGACTCTGGTGCTGATGGCCACACGGCGGGTCACGCGCTCGGCGAGGAAGCGAAGGCGCAAGGACGAGGACGAGGACGGGGACGCGACGGCATCCGCTCCGTCTGCGGCATCCAGCTGCAAGCGCGCAAAGACGGGCCAGGGCGATCGGGTGCAGTCTCCGCCCATGCAGCGGGTGCTCACCGCCGACGATGTGGCGTGGTGGCGGCTGTGGCGATCGGGGCTGGTGGCCGGCATGCCGGGACTCGACAGCGATGCGGAGGCTGGGACGGTGGCCGAGGCGGTGGCGGGTGTACACGTGGCGGTGCAGGCGCAGATCCCGTTGGCGTGCAGCCTGGCGGTGTGGAACCGGATGGTGAGGCCGGCGGTAGATGCGGTGCCGGCGGCCAAGGTAGCGATGGCTGCGCTGCGGGAGACGATGCGAGGCGAGGGCGTGGTGCGGACGTGGGGTCCACGATGGACGCTGCATGCCATGACGGTCCGCGACCTGGCTCTGTATCTGGCAGCGCGTGGGAGTGGCCACATCGAGTACCTGTATCGCCGGGCTGGTTCGAAGAACGGGACGCCTCGAGCCGAGATTGACCATGCCATCGACGCGACAGCATCGAGATTGGCGAGTCATGGGAGCATGAGCAAGGATGAGTATGCCGAGATGGGCCTGCCGATGGCTGTCCGATATTGGGTGTTTGGCGCTCTCACGTTTAGTGGCCAGGCAGTGAGGGACGATGTGGGCGACTCGAGCACGCCTGTGCTGCGGCCGATGCCAGCTGCCTTTGCGGCGTATTCCTTCGAGCCCGAGGCCGCATGGCGCGAGCTCCTCTTACGTTACTTTGACGTCTACGGGCCAGCAAGTGAGACCGATGTGCGCTACTGGCTCGGCGCCAAGCGCGGCGAGACAGCACCGCGGGTGTCGGCCCTGGTGGCATCGGGCGAGCTGACATCCGTAAGTGTCACGTCGCGCGAGGACGAGGAGGTGTTCATCCGCACCAGCGTGCTCGAGGAGCTCGATGCGCTCCCGCCGCGTGCTGGTGCCGGGGACACGATGGTCGTTCGGCTGCTCGGCCGGTTCGAGCCGGTCCTCATCGCGGTCAAGGACAAGAGTGCGTGGATCGCTCCTGAGCACTACCGCAAGGTCTGGGCGCACACCAATGTGGCGTCTGTGGTGCTTGTCAACACGCGGCTCGTAGGACGGTGGAAGGTGGTGCGTCGGGCCAAGATGCTGACAATAGTGATCACTGCGTTTGACGCCAAGTGCATGTGCTCGATCGAACAGGCGTGGGACGAGGTGCTGGTGCAGGCTGGGGGGCTGGCGAGCGTGTACGGGTTCGCAGACCGCGCGTCATGGGCTGTCCAACTCGAGTGAGATGCGCTCTAGCGCAGCTTCTGCGGCGTCTCCCTCCGGCGTGTTGCCGGTGAGAGCTCGATGGTAAAGCAAGTGGTACAACTGCCATAGTCGATCCATTAATGCGATCCTAATCTCAGGCTGGTCAGGAGAGTCCGTCGGTATCCGCACTCACGAGCCTACGCTATCAGGAGAGCCGAGCAAGTCGGGTCAGATGCCAGCCGCGTGCAGGCGAGCAGAGGAGGGGGCAAGGATACAACACTGCCACCGGGTGCGTCCACCTGACTGCCGAGCAGACAGGCTGGCGTTGGTAGCCGCAGACAGGCTGTGGCGAGAGACTCTGGTGCTGATGGCCACACGGCGGGTCACGCGCTCGGCGAGGAAGCGAAGGCGCAAGGACGAGGACGAGGACGGGGACGCGACGGCATCCGCTCCGTCTGCGGCATCCAGCTGCAAGCGCGCAAAGACGGGCCAGGGCGATCGGGTGCAGTCTCCGCCCATGCAGCGGGTGCTCACCGCCGACGATGTGGCGTGGTGGCGGCTGTGGCGATCGGGGCTGGTGGCCGGCATGCCGGGACTCGACAGCGATGCGGAGGCTGGGACGGTGGCCGAGGCGGTGGCGGGTGTACACGTGGCGGTGCAGGCGCAGATCCCGTTGGCGTGCAGCCTGGCGGTGTGGAACCGGATGGTGAGGCCGGCGGTAGATGCGGTGCCGGCGGCCAAGGTAGCGATGGCTGCGCTGCGGGAGACGATGCGAGGCGAGGGCGTGGTGCGGACGTGGGGTCCACGATGGACGCTGCATGCCATGACGGTCCGCGACCTGGCTCTGTATCTGGCAGCGCGTGGGAGCGGCCACATCGAGTATCTCTTTCACCGCGCCGCTACTCGGAAGGACATCAAACGGATTGCGACGCAAGCCGAAATGGAGCGGATGGTAGAGGCGACTGCAGCCCGGCTGTCATCCCAAGGTAGCGTGAGCAAGGATGAGTTTGCTACCATGAGCTTGCCGTCGACAGCACAGCACGGTGTGTTCGGAGTCATCGCCTACCGCGGCCAGGCGGTGCGGGACGATGTGGGCGACTCGAGCACGCCTGTGCTGCGGCCGATGCCAGCTGCCTTTGCGGCGTATTCCTTCGAGCCCGAGGCCGCATGGCGCGAGCTCCTCTTACGTTACTTTGACGTCTACGGGCCAGCAAGTGAGACCGATGTGCGCTACTGGCTCGGCGCCAAGCGCGGCGAGACAGCACCGCGGGTGTCGGCCCTGGTGGCATCGGGCGAGCTGACATCCGTAAGTGTCACGTCGCGCGAGGACGAGGAGGTGTTCATCCGCACCAGCGTGCTCGAGGAGCTCGATGCGCTCCCGCCGCGTGCTGGTGCCGGGGACACGATGGTCGTTCGGCTGCTCGGCCGGTTCGAGCCGGTCCTCATCGCGGTCAAGGACAAGAGTGCGTGGATCGCTCCTGAGCACTACCGCAAGGTCTGGGCGCACACCAATGTGGCGTCTGTGGTGCTTGTCAACACGCGGCTCGTAGGACGGTGGAAGGTGGTGCGTCGGGCCAAGATGCTGACAATAGTGATCACTGCGTTTGACGCCAAGTGCATGTGCTCGATCGAACAGGCGTGGGACGAGGTGCTGGTGCAGGCTGGGGGGCTGGCGAGCGTGTACGGGTTCGCAGACCGCGCGTCATGGGCTGTCCAACTCGAGTGAGATGCGTTTTACATGCCTGGCAGCTTGCCGCCCTTCATCATGTTGCCGAACGACTTCATCATGGACTGCAGGCCGGAGCGGCCACCCATCTGCTGGATCATGCGCGGGTCGAGGACCTTGGAAAGGTCAGGCCCGTTGCGCGAGTTCATGTTGAGGCCCTTCATCTTCTTGAAGACCTTTGCGAAGCGCTTGAACTCGTCGAGCAGCGACGAAACAATGTTGACCGAGGTGCCGGAGCCGCGGGCGACACGGGCAATGCGCGACGGGTTAAACTTGACGTCGCAATCGAGCTCCTCATTGGTCATCGAGTCCATGATGGAGAGGAACATGTTGATGCGGCGGGCCGACTCTTCGTCCGAGCCCGAGTTGAGCATGGACGACGACATGCCAGGCATCATGGACATGACCGACGAGATGGGGCCCATCTGCAACAGGTTCTGGAACTGGTCAGCCATGTCGCGGAGGGTGAACACGCCCTGTTTGAGCTTTTCCAGCAGCTCGGGCTGCTGGTCAATGCCGGCGTCCTGGAGCTTGGAGACGAGACCCATGATGTCGCCGCGGCCGAGGAGGCGCGAGACAAACGACGAGGCGTCGAACGGCTCGAGCTGGTCGATGTGCTCGCCCATGCCGATGAAGACAATGGGCGAGTGAGTGGCCGCGACGGCCGAGAGCGCGCCACCACCCTTTGCGGAACCGTCCATCTTGGTGATGATGACCGAGCCGACGTCGACTCGCTCGCGGAAGGCCTCGGCCTGGTCCTGCGCAGCCTGACCGATGGCGGCATCCATGACAAAGATGGTGGTGTCGGGCTCGACAGCCTCGGCAACCTCGGCCATCTCCTCAAACAGCGCCTCTTCCTGCTTGTGGCGGCCCGAGGTGTCGACAATGATGATCTCAAAGCCCTCCTCGCGGAACTTGTCCACGCCGTCGGCGGCGACCACCACGGGCGAGGTCTCGGTGTACGAGCCGTAGTACGGGATGCGGGCCTTGGTGGCGTTCTGCTTCAGCTGATCAAAGGCACCAGCACGGAAGGTATCCGCACACACAAGACCGACCTTCCACCCCTTCCGCTGGTAGTAGTACCCGAGCTTTCCCGCCGTCGTCGTCTTGCCATTCCCCTGCAGTCCCACAAGCATGATGACGTTCGTCTGGCCCTTGACCGGCACGTACGGCTTGTGCCCGGGGTCCACCAGGTTGATGAGCTCCTGGAAGACAGCCTGTGGATTGGAAGCGGGAGGGAGGGGTGCGGTGAGGCGGGGGGGGAGGGGGGGAGAGCATGGAAGGCGACACGGGAGGTGGGCGAGGGGGGGGGGGGGGGGGAGGGGGGGAAGAAGGAGGGCATGGGGGGGAGGAAGAGGAAGAGAGAGGGGCAGGGAAGGGGACAGGGCGTACAGTCTGGATGAGCTTGCGCTTGTTGATGCCCTGGGCCATCTCCTCCATGTTCACCTGCTGGGTAATGGCCTTGCGTAGGTTGAGGACAAGCGGGACCGAGACGTCGGCGGCAATGAGGGCGTTGCCGATCTCCTTCAGCATATCGTTGAGCACTTTGTCGTCCACAAGCATGGCGTTGGACATATTGCGCAGCGCATCGGAAATACGCGACCCAAGCGCTCCAAGCACCATTTTGTCAAATGTGTGTCTTGCAGAGTGAGGTCTACTCCCGCTATCCCCCCCATGCCCGAGCCCAAGCCCGAGCTGCTGCTCCGCCCGGGATCACACGGCGGTCGTCGCCTTGTGACGGCCCGCGATCACCGCGGGCTTCCTGGTGGGAATAGATGACGGAGAAGGAGGGAATAGCAGATGGGAGGGGAAAGAGGCAAGGGTAGAAGGGCGGACGGTATTAAAGTCAGAATCGGTGCAAGTGATGGGCGTGGGAGAGCTTGAACATGCCGACGATCGACGTCGGAGCGAAGCAAGGTTCGCAGCAGTGCGCTTTGCCAAGCTGTTGGATGGAGAGGGTCGACAGCCGGCGATCGAGGGGATGCTGCAAGGACATGATATTAGTAAGTGGACGACAACCGTACAAGAGGGCACAGGAGAAAGAAGCGATGGCTCATTTGGGCTTGGGCCTGACTCCGGCACCATGCCCGGCACATCCGGCCACATCGCGTGATCACAAGAACTGTAGATCGTGTTCCATGGGGACATTGCTTTGCTCTGATAGCTCACGATGACCTTCAATTGCTCCGATGCCTGCAGTAGGCAACGTATATAAAGAACGTATGCTGTTGAGGCGTGTCGGCAGGGTGGATGCTGCAGAGGTGATGACATTGGGTCAGGGGAGCTCGTGATCGACGAGGGCGGGGCCGGGATGGGGGGGGACGAGTCACGAGTCGATGGCAGCTCAGGGGTGCGCCCAAGGTGGCTGGGCCGAGGCGTGGGGGCGAGCGGACGCGGTACTTGTCTGCAAGCAGGTGCCTGTCAGTAAAACCCGGCTTGTGCGTGGACGGCAGCACACGATGCTGGGCTGGCTGCCTGTGGTGACCAATGCGGGTACGTTGTGCGGGCGGCCGGTTGAGCAGGTCGAGCTGACCGGGGCATAGAGGTGGGGAGATGGACGACTCATGAAGATCTGGAGATTGGTTGGCTGCGATGTGGGGTTGGGGGCTGTGTTGCGGGGAAATCGGCGCATTGCGTGCTTCTGGTGCTGCTCCAGCCGCTCTGCCTTCGATCGTGCACGGGTATCGGGAGGGGTTGGCTGTGGAGACAATGGTGCTTGTTGGCGCACTGGTGACGTCGATCGGATACCATGTGGCGCGGACAATGTCGGCGAGAGTGCTGGGACTAACGCCGGTGCAGTGGCGGGTGGCGGACATCTACGTGGCGCACGTCATGTTTGTACTGATGGCCATCCATCTGCACGGGCTTGCGAGGGGCTTGCGGCGGCTCCTGCTTGCTGTACTCCCTGGCACCATCGGCGTGGCGTTTGCGGTGATCGGCATCTCGCCGATCTTTCTCCTCACCGTCGTCATGCCTGCGGTGGGCTCTGTCGCAGTCCGTGCGGCTATGAGCGGCGGGCTGGCGGGGATGGGCGTTGATGCGGCGGCATTCCGACGGGCGATGGCGCCGTCGGTGGTATCTGGCGCGGCACTCGCGCTCTCTGGGATCTTTCCTCAACACTACGACGTGTGGCACTCACTGTGGCACTGTGCCGCGGGCCTGGCGTCGTATCGCATCTTTGTGGCACGCCGTGTGCCGAAGCGGAGCGGGCGGAGCTCGCCGTAAAATGGGATACATGGACCCAGGCACACACTCACTCCCATACACACAACAAGCTCGCAGTTACTACCAGAGAGGGAGATAGGCACATGTGCTACGCGGAAGCGGTTTAACGCTCAGTCGAAGAGACCGAAGCCCATCGAGCCATCGGACGACTCCTCCTCCTCCTCGGCGGCGGCGGCGGGGGCGTCACCGGCGGCAGGGGCAGCACCGGCGGCCGGGGCGGCAGCGCCAGTCGGGACGGAAGCGAACTTCTCCTGGCCGGCCTCGATGAGGGCCTCGACGGACTGGCCGTTGAGCGACTCGATGACCTTGGCGGTGCAGGTCGAGTCGACCTCGGAGCCGACGGCGTTGAGGATCTTCTCAACGTCAGCAGCCGACGGGGAGTCGTTGCCACCAAGGGAAGCGAGGAGGTACGCAGCGATGTACTTCACTGTGATCCGCACATACAGCGTCCGTGGTTGCTAGGTGAGTCGCAGTCGCCCATGCTCATGGCCGTGCTCATGGCCACATCGCCTCACACAAAAGTCATACAAAAACCTAAAACCCGCTCGCCAGCCACCACCACCACCACACACAGCCAGAGCTACCACGCCCGTGGCAAGCACACCTCGAGACGCACTATGCCATGAACGCACACACTCTAACACATAGCATGCTGGGATACCGTGTACCCACAGTGGCCTGCAAGCCCTGGACTGCCGAAGGGGTACGGAGGGGGGAGACCGCCGCAAGTCGCCGCTGATGAAATTCGCTCTCTGTCCGACAGAGACCGCAAGCCACCCACGGTACCCACGGCCCGAGACGGCCACCTCAATCCCCATTCCCTCCCATACACAAGAAACCACGTGGTGCAACCACACATGGTGCCCTTGCGTGGCCATGCCCCCCTGTCCCCCTCCCTAGGCCCCCCCTGGCCCCCCTCCCGGACCTCCCCCCCCCCCGACTGCCCGATGCCATCAAACGCGTACTGTTGGAATGGAGAGAGTGATGTGACTGACTCTGACAAACTGGTGCCCCCCGCACTTTCATTTCGTTTTGTCCGACTCGGCCGATTATCGAGTGTCTGTCAGATGGCATTCGAACGTTTCGCCTTTCTCGACCCCTCCCCCCCCCCCTTCTACTTGTACCATCGATGGCACGCGCTGCCTTGCCCCTCAGTTGCAGAGTCATACAGATTTTACTGCAATCGCTTGCGCTACCATCGCTTGTGCTACAATCGCTTGTGCTCGGGAGAGTGGTCGGTCTCGGTGTCGAGATGGATGAAGCAGCGTTCGACTTCGTCGAGAGCCTCGACCGAGTCCTGCAGCGACTCGCCGATGTCATGGGCGATGTGTAGCGGGGTATTGGGTGGGAGACAGAGGTCGATCTCGACAAGAAAGTAGACGCCAAAGTAGTAGGCACGGACGGTGTCGACGAGAGCGTCGGGATGGTGCTGGGCGGCCATGTAGGTGAGTTTGCGGAGAAAGTCGTTGGGTGCGGACATGCCGGTGAGCTTGAGCAGCTGCTCCTTGCCGGCCGAGGCCCAGACGCGGATGATCCACATGGCGAGGGCGATGCCGCAGACCGGATCGACCCACCATGCGACGGTCATGGCCGAAATGAAGGCGGCGAGAGTGCCAAAGGTGTTGGTGAGGACGTCGGTGATGTGGTCGGTAGCCAGCGCCTCGACCATGTCCGAGTCGTGGCTTTGCTGCACAAACTTGGCGAGCGCAAGAGGCCGAGCTTGGCCACAATGGTGAAGCCAAGGACGGTGATGGTCGACGCCGAGAGCGAAATGTCGGCGCCACCGTCGAGCAGCCGCAGGGCGCCGGTGAGGATGAGCTGGAGGGCGGCAGTTCCCATGACCGAGGCAAAGACGATGATACCCAGCGGCTCGAGCCGGCGCCGCCCGACCGGGTACTTGTACGGATCGCGGCGCGAGATGGCGCGCTCGGTCACAAACATGATGAGGCCCGAGACAAGGTCCAGCGCCGAGTCGACGGCAGATGCAAAGACTGCGAGCGAGCCCGAGGCGACGGCGGCAAATACCTTGGCCACAAAGAGGACCACGTTGACAGCCAGCGAGAGGCGGACCACCAGCTGGACCGCGCTCGGCGTTGCCGGCGGGCTTGTCGTCATCACTGCGTTTCGCGGCCGGATGACGTCGACGGCACTCGCCGAGTCGGACCCATCGCCGTCGCCGAGCCGACCACCCATTCCGCCTCCCACCCCGGCGCCGGCTCGCCCCGACGGCGAGCCCTCTCCCCGCCCGAGCGTCACCTCGTCGAGCTCGTGCAGCGAGTCGATGTATGCGTTCTGTTGCCTGTAAAAGGTCGAGACCCGCGACGGCATGGCCCTCACCGCCTCGTCGTCCATCCGCAGCGCCTCCAGCTCAGCCCTCCGTTCCGCCTTGAGCGCCGCCGCCGCCTCGGGGTTCAGAATCGCCGCCGTCAGCGGCTCGCCCGTCATCGACCAGTCCATGTCCGACTCGGACTCGTGATCACCACCAAGCAGCGCCACATGTTCGTCGTCGTCGGTGGTAAACCCGTAGCCGCCTGTTCCCGACGACATGACCGAGAGACACCGGTGGGTGGAGGTGGAAGAAAGTGCGTGATGCTGTTGGAGATGCAGCAAGGAGGCTCTCATGTGAGTTGCCTTGCACGTTGCAGGCAGCTCGCCCGTCCCCCCCCCCCCCCCCCCCCAATCCTCCCACCCCCCTTCCATCCCCTTCCATCCCCTTCCCCACCCTCTTGCCATCAAATCAGCCACAACAGTCCTTTTTCACCGCCTTTTGTCCGAGCCTGCCTTTGCACGCACGCTCTTCCGCCTTGCCGCGCCGCCTGGTCCGTCCCTCAACCCCCCCTCCACAGCCCCGATACCTACTCCTACGACTTGCTCAGTCTGCACAACCTGGTACCACAACCGCAACCCCTCCCCCCAAACAAGGAAGGTTTGCTTGATTCAGTCAAGTGTACAGCCTGGAGCTGCGTGGGCCAAGTCAAAGGTGATGTGGTGGACCCTCGCCAAGGCTGCCGTGCGCCAGTCACTCACCATCGTCTGCAGGCAAATCCCCCCCCTCCCTCCACTCAGTTCCTCACCCACCACCCGCAGCTAGCCAGCCAGCCAGAGCTCGTCGGCGCCCTCACTCTCGTCCAAGCGCCCTCACTAGCTCGTCACCTCACTGCATTCAGGCATCTAGTGAGCATATCTTTGTGGAGTGCACCCCTCTGTACCTCATCACCACCGGGGCTTGCTCACTTTGCCACCTTCCGTCATGTCTGCCTGTTCCCCTGCTGCAGTCCTGGCCGCTGCTGTCATCATGGCTGCCCTCTGCGGCGCCTGCTGCGGTACGCCCCGTCCTTCCGCCTTCGGCCCCCTCCCTCCCCCCTCCCTCCCTCCCTCCCTCCCTCCCTCCCTCCCTCCCTCCTTCGTCCTACCTCTCCATGCCTTTCCCCTCCTCCCCCCCTTCCCCTCCGTCCCCTCCATCCATCCTCTCCTCCATCCCCTCCGGCCTTCTCCCGCTCCCGCCATCGATCGTCTGCGACCTTTTTTCGCCGCATGTTCGTCCCCTCCTCCCCCTTCACACCCTCTCACCGCCCTCCCTCGGGTCTCCTCCTGCACAGGCTCGAATGTGGCTGCCGACTACGTCAACACGTGGGTCAATGAGGGTGCTGTGGGAGCTGACAAACCGCCGGCATTGAGCAAGGCCGCGGCCGTGCGCTACGGCAGCGATGTGGTGATGTTCGGCGGGAAGAAGAGCGATGATGCAACGACGTCGTTGATGTACAAGTTTGTGACGGCGACGCAAGAGTGGCAGCTCGAAGTGTACAGCGGCGCAGGTGCTACACCTGCTCCACGGTACGGGCATGCGATGGTGGCGTCGGTCTCCTCGCCGCACCTGCTGTACGTGTTTTCCGGCTGCTCGTCGGCTGCGTGTACGCCGGCGACATCGTCGGCCGACATGCTGCCCTTTTCGAACGTGTACATGCAGTACAACCTGGTAACCAAGAAGTGGACGTCGCTGTCGGCTACCGGGACCATTGTTGATCCGCGGTTTGGCGCCCTTGTCCTGCCGTGGGTTGACTCGCGCTCGCCGGATACGCTCGATTCGGAGTACTTTGTCATCTACGGTGGGTACACGCCGGCGACAGCCAAGAACGACAAGGTCTACTTGTTCCAGGTCTCGTCAGGCCAGTTTACCGAGCTTCCGATTCTGCCGTCGCCGTCAAACCCGCCACCGCTGGCCGAGCCGGCAGGCATTGTGGTCGACGACGTGCTGTATGTGTTTGGCGGGCACGCGTACACCGGAACGGCATCGTACTCGAACACGGTGTATGCGCTGGATCTGCAGACCAACACGTGGTCGATTGTGGCGACGGCCAACACGCCTTCGCCGCGCGCCGGCGCTGCCTTTGGCACCGTCGACGGAACCTCGCTCCTCATCCATGGCGGCTACACCGGAACCACGCTCCTTGGCGAGACTGCTGTGCTCAACGTGACTGCGCCGACCAAGACCTGGTTCTCGCTGGCTTCCGGTGCCGGACGCGGCGGCACCGCGTCGGCCGTCGCCATGCACAACCTCTTTGTCTTTGGTGGACACACGGGCACCGTCCGCCCGGGCACGCTTTCGGGCGACGGGCTGACGTACTTTACCCGCCCACAGGTGCTCTCGTCGAGCCCGAACAGCGGCAAGACGTGCGCGCAAAAGACGGTGACGGTTGTCGGGCGCGAGTTTCGGCCTGGCGCCGTCTGCGCCTTTGCCGGCGTTACCACGCCGGCGACGTACGTGTCGGCGACTAGCGTCACCTGCCCGGCAGCCATTCCGGTGGTGGAGAACTCGGTGTCGAGTGTTGAGGTGAGCGTCGGCAACGTGGCGCACCTGCTTGCAGCGCCGCGTGCTGCGGTGTCGTACCTCTACGCTGAGGACGTGTCGTCGCCGGCGACGACGCGCGCCATCGGCCTGCCGACGGCCGGTGAGGCCGGCACCGTTGTCCCGTTCCAGATCCAGACTTCGGCCTCGTGCGGCATCGAGCGGCTGACACGGTTCCTCGATCCGCCGCTCACCGGCAACAACGACAACGTGACGCTTGTGGTCACCGACGTGAACAACGCTGCAGTCATGTACTCGGTCCCTGTGGCCTTTGATGCCGACCCAACGACGTTTGGGCGGTACACGGCAGCGCTCAACACTACTGTCGCCTCGGTCTACAGGCTGCACATTATTCTCAACGACGTCCCGGTTGCCGACGTGCCAGAGCTGACGATTGCGCCGGCGCTGCCCGAGGCGGAAGCGGCAGACACCTTTATCACGCCGCCGGCGGCGACGACTTCGGTGGCCGGCACGCCGATTGTCTTTTACTTTGCCGCCGTCGACGCGTTCGGCAACGACGTGACCAACCCAGAGCTCTTTACTGCGGTCGCCGTTGTCAACCCGCGGGTGTCGCTCACCGGGGTCATTGGCTCTGGGCCGGGCACTTTGCTCAAGGTCACGTTCCCGACAACCACGACCGCTGGTGCGTACGCGATCACCGTCCGGACTGGGCACGACGCCGGGCTTGTCGGAAGTTATACGCATACGGTCGAGCCGGCGGCTTTCGACGTCGCCTCGTCGACGGCGTTTGGAGAGACCTCCATCGGCAAAGTCGCCGAGCGCAACGTCATCTACATCCAACCGCGCGACCGATTCGGCAACGCACGGGTCGAGTCCGGTGTCGACTTTACCATGACGCTCGTGGGCTCGTCGTCCATCTCGGGCACCGTCTCAGAGAACACCGCTACCGGCCTGTACGAGGCCGAGTACACGGCGACCCGCGTTGGTCAGTACGCCATCGATATTCAGGTCGGCTCGACCGCCATTGTCGACTCGCCGTTCTCGGTCACCATCAAGGTTGGCTCGGTCCAGTCGATTCGCGACACCCGCGCGTTTGGCGCCGGCGTCCAGTCGGTCGTCGCCGGCAAGAAGGGCTTCTTCCTCGTCCAGGCTCGCGATCCGTACAACAACCTCGTGCCCTTTGGCGGGCTCAACCTCACCGTGACTTCGGCTGCCATCTCGGACGCCTCGGTCCTTGACCACGGTGACGGCTCGTACTCGGTCTCGTACACCGCCAAGCACCTCGGCCACTTTGGCGACCAGAAGCTGTGCGTCACCCAGGGCGGCGACCACATCCGCGGCTCGCCGTTTGATCTCAAGGTTGAGTTTGGCGTTGTCTTTTTGTCATTGTCTTCCTTGTCGTCCTCATCGTCTCGGTCATCATCGCCATCGGCTGCACGTGGGCGTTCAACAAGGCCCACCGCCGCTACCGCTACAAGATGCTGATGCGGAACCCGGACAAGGTCTTCCCCACCGTTGAGGACGACCACGACGAGAACGACCCTTGGGTCGTCGATCCGGACTGGGCAGAGGGCGGTGTCCCACTTGACGACATCGGCCTCGACATGGACCCGGATGCAGGCTTTGGCGTCAACGACCTTGTCTCTGACTTTCACGATACCCCGGCCATTGCCGCTCCGCCGTCCTCGGCCGCCTCGGCCGACAACCACCACGACGCCACGGGCATTCCCATGGCCAACCTCTCCCGTACCTAGCCTCGAGGTCAAGTGCAATACAGCAACATCGAAATGCCCGTCACACTCGCCCAATCCAGCCTCCTCCCTCCCTCGGCCCGTCCCGGTCCACCCCACTCCCCACTCTCCCCCACCCCACCCCCCCCACCCCACTTCCACCTCCAATCACATACCCATATGCTGAGGACAGCAGCCGCGGGCCTGTGCACGCGCAGACTTGGGCGCGGGCTGTGGGCGGGCTCAGCCGGCGTCCGCGGACTGGCGACGAGCCTGCGGGCGCAAAGCATGCCGCCGGCGGCGCCTATGCTGACGATGGCAACGACGATTAACGCGCTGATGCAGGAGGCGCTCGGCGAGGGCGAAGGCGGGGCTGGGCGACAGAGCGGAGTGCATGTGGCGGGTTGGGTCAAGTCTGTGCGGCGGCAGAAGCACATTGCCTTTGTTATGATCGACGACGGAACGTGGTCCAAGCCGCTGCAGGTGGTGGTCAAGGGCGAGGCGGCGGCGGATCTGCCGGACAATCTGCAGGTGGGAGACGCAGTGCGGGCGTCGGGCGATCTGGTTGGCTCCAAGGGCGGCGGGCAGGCGTTCGAGCTTGTGGCCAAGTCGCTGGCTCCGCTGCCGGGCTCGCCGACGGCCGACTCTGGCCACGGCAAGAGCTACCCGCTGCAGAAGAAGGCCCACTCGCAGGGCTTTCTGCGGTCGCTCCCGCATCTTAGGGCGCGGACCTCGCACTTTGCGGCAACGATGCGGGTCCGGTCGCGGCTGGCGCGGGCACTGCAGGTGTCGGCCGAGGATCATCTGGGATGCATCCGGGTCCAGACCCCGGTCATTACCGCTGGCGACTGCGAGGGCGCCGGTGAGCGCTTTGCGGTGGCGCCCGAGGGCACAGCGCCTGGAGACGCTGCAGCTTTCTTTGGCGCGCCGACCTTTCTCTCGGTCTCGGGCCAGCTCGAGGCCGAGGCGCTCGGCTCGGGCCTCGGCAATGTGTACACCTTTGGCCCGACGTTCCGGGCAGAGAACTCGAACACCTCGCGGCATCTTGCCGAGTTCTGGATGCTTGAGCCAGAGTTGTACTTTATCGACTCGCTGGACACACTGCTGCACGCGGCAACAACACTGGTCACTGCGGCGGTGGGCGAGGTGCTCGACGACGCGCGGGCGGCGGCAGACCTGAGCCTGCTCGATCCGGACTTTGAGCTGCGGCTGTCGCGGTTGGTCACGCCGGGCGCGCCGTGGGCCGCCATCGAGTACACTGACGCCATTGCCGAGCTGCGGGCGGCGGTCGAGGCCGGCGCTGCCAAGTTTGCGCAGGAGCCGGTGTGGGGCATGGACCTTTCGACCGAGCACGAGCAGTTTGTGGTGGCGCGGCTCAACCCGGGCCGCCCTACGTTCATCGTCAACTACCCGGCGTCGATCAAGCCGTTCTACATGAAGGCCAACCCGCGGAAGCCAGGCATTTCCGCCGACGGCGACACCGTTGCCGCCTTTGACCTCCTTCTTCCGGACGTCGGCGAGGTGATGGGCGGCTCGATGCGCGAGGACAACGCAGAGCTTCTCGAGCGGGCCATGGTTGCCAAGAGCATGGATCCTGCGCTGTACGAGTGGTACCTCGATCTGCGGCGGTTTGGCTCGGCGCCGCACGGTGGCTTTGGCCTCGGCTTTGACCGGCTGCTGCAGTACGTGACTCGGACGCCGTCGATCCGCGACGTTGTTGCCTTTCCTCGTGGCCCGGCATACTTTGCCTCGCATCCAGTGTAGCGCACCGAGCCGCACGAGCCGCCATGCCTTACCCCCACCACCCACCCACCCCGAACCCCTCACCACACTGACACTGCTCAACTGCTGTGTTCACCATTTACATGCACATCGACCGACAGCCAGCTTACGCACAGGGAATAAATACGTGCGTGTACAAGCAAAGCTGCCAGCTAACGGCCACCTGGATGGTGTTGGTACGGCGGCCGCGGCATCATGGAGAGACCCAGCTGCTGCTGCTGGAGCTGGAGCTGGAGCTGCTGGTTGCGGGCGAGCTGCTGGCTCTGCTGCTGCTGCAGCTGCTGAATCTGCTGAGCTTGCGCCAATTGCTGCATTTGCTGCATCTGCTGGATGCGCTGCTGGACTTGCTGCAGCTGCGCGAAGCTGTCGTTGACAGCAAGGTTGTCGCCGCCGTCGCCATTATCACCATTGTCGGATGCGAGGTCATGAGGCTCGCCACCGGCAAACGTGCCGGAGGAAATGGCGGCGGGTGTCGGCATCGACGAGCTCGCCTTCCCGACGTGCGGCTGCTGCGGGTACATCGTCGACACCTGCTGCTGCATGAGCGCCGAGCTACCGGTGAGCATAGGCCCACCTGCGGAGGGTCCGCCGAACGACGACATCGCTCCGACCGACGACATGCCGAGGCTCAAGCTAGTCGGCGGCGGTTGCGGGTACGACGGGTTGTTCATCGAGAGGTACTTGATGACGCCGTCCTGGTACTGGACAACATTGCGCAGATGGGCCAGCTCCTTTTCCAGCAGCAGCCGTGAGCGCTTGCTCTCGTGCGAGTTCTCCGACGACGGGTTCGACGACGTTGATGAGCCGCCCTCGCTGCTTCCCAGAGCGGACACAGTCGGCGACGGCTTGGCGGCTGACCGCTTGCGCTTGCGCGAGCGGACCTTGTCGCGTTCAAACTTGGAGACCGAGAAGATCGGCGCGAGGTCGACATACGAGTGTCCAACGACGGCACACGTCTTCATGTCGACGTCGACATAGCCAACACGGAGGACAAACGGCAGGTTAGAGTGAAAGTGCGAGTTGCACTGAATCGACGCCGCAAAGGCGCGAACCGACCGTCCGAGGCACGAGCCAAAGACCACGGCGGGAAAAGCGATATCCTTCCCAACGTAGTGGGAAAAGACAGCTTCGGCCTTGCCTGCGCCCTCAATCGACTGGCCCTCGGATGTCTCGTCGCCGGGCAGGACTGCGTCCGACGCCAGCTCGGCCACTCGGGCAGGCAGGCCGTTGTCCCATGCGCCAACCGGATGGCCGAGATGGCGCACCTCCTGCCCGCCTTTGCGGAACTGGTGTCGGAAGAGGAGCAGCGCAAGCGGCGGGCAGCGGGCACACTTTTCCACTGGATTGCTATCAGGGTGCTCCAGCCGCCACACCAGCAGCCGCTTGACACCCTTTCTTGGCAGCTCAGAAGAGCGGACGTGAATGAACGGGAATATTACCCGCGAGCGAAGGACCTCGAGTCGGTCAAGCAAAGTACCCGACGACCGGACGCTCTGCCGGATCTGGTTCGAGAACTGCAGGCCGCGCTCGCCAGACGTTTCGCTCAAGCTCATCCGCACCTCGTTCGTTGTTGTGCCTCCGCCAGGCATGCCGGTTCCGAACCGGATCTGCAGCTTGCCATCGGCCGTGGCCCACTCAACCTTTGCGATCGACTCGTCTTCAAGTGATGATGAAGACATGCTCTCCCACTCGAGGCGACTGGAGTAGCTCGAAGTGAGACTGGGGAACGTGTTCGGATGCTGTTCGCGACAGGGAGGAGCCTCGACCGACAAAACACAAGCGAGGACCTCCGCGGCACGGTAAGCAAAATATTAGTAGCCACTCGGCGCGTCTATAAAGAGCCGCACCGATAAGGAAGTGAGGGTGAGTTGGCAGATAGGAACAGTATCATGGCCAAGTTGGATGGCTACAGAAAAAGGTCAGTGTGTCCCACCCGCGCCAGCCTCGCCGCAGTGGGCGCGTCATGCAGCATAGCAAAGCAAAGATGTAAGGGAAAAACTCCCAAACCAAGCACTCACATCCATGCCAGGCAATGCATTCCCCTCCAATTTGGACGCAGGGCGAGTGCACACGCGAAAGAAGGACGGGGGGGAGGGGGGGGGGGGCGCGAGTCAAAAAATATTGAAGCCCATCCTACAACGCCCCCCCTCCCCCGCAGTGGTGCGACCCTCCCTGCCACGCCGACCATGATAGGGGGCACGTGGCGAGCATTGAGCTGAAGCAGACATTAGCGGAGATGGCAGGGCTGCACGTTGCTTGGACTTGCACCTATACGCCATTCCACATCCCCTTCCACGGCTCAACAGCTCGTTGTCCACGCAGTGGAAGCGACAGCGGGCGAAAGGCGGAATATATATACATATTCACCAACACAACGAGACAAGGCTGCAACCAGTTACCCGCAGTCACAGCTGGTGGCGGGAGGCGGCTTGGAGCGAGCCATCACGAGCATGGCAAGCCAAAATACAAGCCGAGGAAGGGGGGGGGGGGGGGGGGGACAGGGAGGGAAGGTCAGGGCGCGGAAGAACCGGAGCTTGACGGGTGGAAAAGGGGAGGGGGAGAGCGGGCGGGGGAAGGGGGGTGGGCAAAAGGGGGGGTTTCGGGCCGGCGAAGAAGGGGCGTTGGCTCAGGTTGGCTTGGGCGGGTGAGCGGAAGCAGGTGAAGGAAGGTTATGTAGGGAGGTGGGGCAAGGAGCACAGGGAACCAGGGTACGTACAGAGAGTTGGGAAGTTCCCCAACTGCAACGCGCTACTCTAGGCAACGAGTTGAGTCTACCACGGCTTGACGTGGGTCGTGTACCCCGCCGAAGGTGCAACGTCGCTTGGCTGCCAATTGAAGTCAAAAATTGCGGAGGCGACATGCCGAAAACGGCAATTGGCAACACTCACTCAATTGGTTACGCGCTGGTGCACGTGGCTAATTCACGATATCCTCCGCATCATCTGTGTAATGACTACTCTCCGTCGTCAAAGCTCAGTAGGTGTGCGGCATGGCCCGGCGGGGGTGCCTTGCGCTTGCGGCGCTTCTTGCGCGTGCTCGCCCCACCCGTGACGCTCTGACAAGTGGTATCGCGAGAATTGGCAGTAGTTGGCTCGCTCATCTCAGCCAGGTCACGGGCGTGGTCAACGGCGTTGACTCGCTTGCGTTTGCGGCTCGACGTGGCAGATAGGACCGAGTCTTGGGCAGGTCGCGGGGCGGGCGACGGCAGCGCCGAGGCTGATGCACGCCGCGCAGACCGCGCCTCGAGCACAGCGCGCGCCTGGGCAGAAATGGGTCCGGCCGGGCGATCCTCAGTGGAGGCACCGACGGGCGAGTCATCGCCGGCGGCGGCGGCGACGACGGCAGCAATCTCGGCGGGCGAGTAGCCCTGGGCAACAAGCTCATCGAGGTTGGCAACGGCTGGCCCTTGAGTGGCGTACTTGGACGATGCAGCGGTGGTCCCGGGCCGGGCGCCCTCGCGGTCCTGCGCCTTGCGCGCCTTGGGCCCGCGCGTCATCGACGCTGCTGACGCCGTCGGATCGAGCACCACCGTCCGCGCCCGCGCCTGCCGCGGTCCGCCCGCCGCCAACTTGTCGACGCCTCCAAGAGGCGTCGGCGCTCCACCGGCAGCGCCAAACAGGGCCCCGAGCGACGACGAGTCGACGACGGCATGGCGCCCTCCGCTTCTTCCGCCGCTTCCGCCACCTGCGGCTCGCGCCTCCCGCCGCTGCGCCTCGGCGCGTGCCTTTAGCACGCTCTCGTCCTCCTTGCTACCAAGAGCCTGGGCGACGGAGCCCTGCAGAAACTTGGGCAGCGCATGGTTGTAGCGGATGGCCATGCCTCCGCCTCGCCTCCCGCCCCCACGGCCTCGTCCACCGCCACGCCCGCCGCCGCGTCCACCCCGGCCACGCGAGCCCAGCCCGTGTCGGCCCTTTGCCATGGCTATTGTGTCTGTTCGCTGTGGAAGTGAGAGTGGAGTGGTTGCGCCTGTGGCTGTGGCTATGTGCTGGGGGCGACGTGGGCATGGTTGTGGTCGGCGGACACAGCGCTTGGCAGACTCCGTGGTGGGTGCCGAGCTCGATCACCAGTCTCATGCTCAGACATGTAGGACTGATCAAGCCCTCTGCGCATTCCTCGACCATGACCAGTCATCTCGACTGAGTAGACTGGCCTAGACCGGGCTATCTGCCATGTGTAGTCCTCTTCCTTGTCGCTAGATCTAGCGATCGCGGCGGGCGGGCGGGCGGCGGGCGGGCGGGCGGCGGGCGACATGCGACGCGGCTGGGCAACCACATCCTCATGGCGAATGGATGTGTGCGATGAGCTTGAAAGCAGCGCGTGCTTGCAAATCAATGCCTATCAACCTGGTGGTAGTGTGGTAGCGCACCACATCACATCAGGTCGTGTCGGTTCATGTCGTGAGTGTGATGTGGGCCTGGCGGCCATCTCTGTGAGTGGCAATGCTTAATGTGGGCTGTGTGTATGTGAGGGGGGAGGGGGGGGGGGAGACAGTGGGGTGGCGGTCGACGGGACGGCGTGGCAGACCCGGCACAGATGGGAAGTACAGCCACGACCAGCCCCACCCACCCGCCCCCCTCGACCTCACCTGCAACCGCAACCATTCCTCTCCTGTCCTTCTGTTCTCCTGTTCCTCCTCGTCCACGACCCTCCACCGGAACCCCCCCCCCTACCCCCCCCCCCCCCCCCCCACCCTGTCTGTCCGCATACAGGTGGCTGACGCGGTCAAGACCCTCCGGGCGGCAGGTGAGACGACCGTCGAGAGTCTCATAGAGCGGCTATGTGGTAAGCTCGGCATAGCCCCGCCCGACTCGCACGAGTATGGCATCCTCTATCTGCCACAGGCTCGCTGGCTCATCGACTCGCGTACTCTGGCGGTCGAAGGCGTATTGACAGCCAGTGATGGCGGTGGTGGCGGTGGTGGCGGTGGTGGCGGTGGTGGCGGTGGCGGCGGTGGTGGCGGTGGCGGTGGCGGTCATGACGGCGCTTCCGGAAGCAGCAGAGGCTTACCGCCGCGAGGTGCTGCGCTCGAGTTTCGGCGCAGGGGCTACTTTGAGTTCTGCTTCTTTGCCATTCCCGAGCCGCCGCCGTTGGATCTGATTGTGGCATCGCGGGCGGAGCTGGCAGCCATGTCGGCCCGCACCGTCGCTCGGCTCGTCCCCAATCCGCCGCCGCAGCGGACGTCATCGCGGCTCGATCACGACGTCCTGGTCAACGAGCAGCCATCGGCGTCGCACATATGCGTTGAGTTTGCCGCAGCAACAGCCGCCTTTATCTCTGCCCGCTGGGTCGTCTCGCCCATCATCGGCGTCAAGCTCATGGCCATTCTGCTGCAGCTTCGCGCCCCGCTAGCGGCGACCGACAGCCTCACCGCGGACCGGCGTGCTGCGCTCGAGCTCGCACTCGCCTCGCCATCGCTTGCGCCGGCATACCTCCGCAAAAAGTCTGCCAATGTCGACCCGGCGGTCGTTTTCAACCTGCAGCGTTCCAAGGCCACTACGTCGCCGGACGCCCTGCGCGCCGAGTTTGTTAAGGCCATGATGTACTCGCCCGACTTTGGCGTCGAGTTCTTCCCAGTCTCCATCTACTACACCACCGAGTCGGTGGTCAACGTCACCACCCTCCGCACCCGCATCCTCGGTGTCTCGCGCAACGGCATCACCGTCCACTCGTCGCGATCGCGCAAGCAGCTCGAGGCCTACCCACTTCTCGCCATCGGCGCCGTCGAGACCCGCAACGACAAGTTTGCCATCGACGTTGGCTCCGACGCCAAGCTCGTCGGCCGCTGTGACGGCCCCGACGTCCATCGCCTTGCCGCTGCCCTCGAGTTTTACCTCGGCTGCGCCGCCCGGCTGATGGGCGACTCGCGCGCTGGTGCAAGCTCCGCTACAGCCCGCAGTCCGACTCGCGCTGGTCAGGGGCCGGCGCTGTCGTCCGCGCCGCGATCACGGCTCTCGGCTGGCCCGCTTGCTGCTGTCGAGCGTATGTCGCTCCAGTCGAGCACCGACTACCGCGACGAAGCCGTCGATGTCGTCGTCTTCTCGGTCTTTCCTTTCCGTCCGTCGCTTGGCGACGAGCTTGCCTTCTCGCCAGGCGACGCCATTGTCCTCCTTGAGTCGTTTGATGATGGGTGGGGCCTTGGCACTCTCCGCAGCGGCGTTGAGGGCATGTTCCCGCTCTCCTACACGACCCCGTCACCGCAGCTCCCGGCGTCTATCCGGACAAGGCTGCTGCGGACCGGCGCGTTTATCACAAAGCCTGCTGCCGCTCGCGCCACTGTCGGCGGGGCGGCAGCTACGTCTGCCGCCAAAGCCAAGCCGGATCGCAATCGCAACCCACATGGCAAGGCGCCGCCGCCGGCCAAGCCGGCCAAGACCAAGTCGCAGCCGCAGCCCAAGACTCAGGCGTCGCCGCTGTCGTCCACGCCGCCGGTCGTCGTTGCTTTCCGGCCCGGCCGCAAGACATCCATGATGGGCCGCGGCGTTGCAGACTCGGCGCGGGCTGCGTCTCCGGCCCTGGAGCTTTCGTCAACAGCCTCGACGTCTGTTGCGTTTCGTCGCGACCGACAGTCGTCGATCCACTTGGCTGGACGGCCGTCCGCTGCCAACTCGGTCGGCCCGCCGCCGCTATTGGGCAAAGGCCTGCAGGTACCAGCCCCCCAAAGGCACGACCAAAGCGCGGTTGCCTCGGCGCAGCGTGCCTCCGAACCGGAGCTTGCCATTCCCGAGCCGATCTCGATGTCCGAGGCCGAGCTCGACTCGGTCCTCGTGCTCATCGAGACTCGGGTCCGTGAGGATTCGGCTACCTCGGATTCGGGGCGCGGTGAGAGCGGCGGCGACGAAGCGGCGGGCCTCGACGTCAATTGGGAGCCGAGTGTGGAGCTCGCGCTCGACAGCGCGTTTGTCGACAACGATTGGGGCAACGAGCTCGCTTCATCGCCGCACACCCTCTGGGCGCCGTCTGCAGAGTCAGCTGTCTCGTTTGCCTCGCTCGACGCCGACGCTGCCCTCGCCACCGTCGAGTCGAGCTCGGTCGACGGCGCGCCCAACGACGCGCTGGCGGCGCTCGACGCGCTCATGGTCGAGTTTGACGACATCAGCAGTCTCAACTCGTTTATTTGATCAGCGCACGCACGCGCTCCACCTCTACACCAAGCTCGTTGCCCAGCGCCGCCGCCGCGCTCGCCTCCATCGCCGGTGTCACGTACTCGGCTTCGAGCGCCGCCAGCTGCGCCGCAGCCTCTGGTGCCAACCCGTCGCGCGCATCTCCAGCCGCTCCATACAACTTGATCAGCTCTGCCGGGACAGGCGCATAGCCTGGTGAAGAGTAGTGCAGCAGCACGCTCATCATGTACCCGGCGTAGAGCGTGAGCGTCAGCGAGTACAGCGCGAGACCGCACGCGAGCCGGCTGTCATCGTCGCCGCCATCAGGCACCACGTTAAAAGGCTGGCACACGGAGCCATCCTCGGCAGTACTCGGAGTGTCAGCAACAAGAAGAGGCGCCGCCGCAGCGCTCGACATCGCGCCGTGCCACAGGCCGGCGGCCACCGCGGACGCGGCGTCGACGATGGCGCCGCACGGGCCAATAAGGGCAAGGACGTCGAGCCGGGCCGGCGGGCGAAGCGCCAGCCATGGACACACCTCGGTCAAGTCGTCGACGTCGACGCCCACGCAAACTTGGCGGATATGCAACAGTGTCTGCTCAGCCACCTGGCGTGTCATGTCCCCCCAAACCTCGTCAGGGAGCTCAGCCACAAACTCGGCCACAGTCGCGCTGTGGAGGCCATACGTCCGTGCGACGCCACCACGGATCACCGCACTTGCGGCATCCAGCACATACTGCCACGGCTTGCTGTCGAACACCTTGCGCACAGCACTCTCCGCACTCTCGTCCATACCTGCTGCAAGAGCAAGTGTGGTGAGGTGGTGGTCATCCAAGCGCTGCAGAGCGCCGGGAAGCGTCGCGCGCCACAATGTCGTCGCCGCCAGGATCGACGGGCAAGACTGCCTCTCGCGAGTGCTGGAGACCCAGGTGTGGGAGGCTGTGACGGTCGAGGTCACGATGGTGCCGTACCTCAACTCGAGCTATGTCACGGCATCATGTGCGCGCGATGCCGGCATGACGTCTGCAGGCCGACGCGGCGCAGTGAGCACCAGGACCGGCACGGCCGCCGCCGTCATCGTCACACTGTGTTTGCTATTGCTAGCGTGGGTGGCGAGTACTGCCGTGGCCGCGGTCATGCCGACTCGACCGACTCGCCCGACGACGAGCTGTCGGCCATCCCGGCGTCGTTGCCCTCCTCGTCGATGCGAGCAACTTCGAGAAATACAGCCTCCAGAGACTCCATGGCCAGCTGGATGTCGTGGATGCCGAGCGACTTCTTGCGCTTCTCCAGCGCCTTGAGGAAGCGCGACATGTGCGAGAGCTGGCTGCGCGGGATCTTAAACGAGAGCTGGGCATCGTCGCGGGCCGAGGCCGGTGGCTCATCTGACTCGCTCGCGTCCGACTCGTCCAGCTCGACACCGGGCAGGCGGTCGCGGACAAACTCAGCAATGTCGCCGAGCTTGCCGGCGCGGGTGACGAGGGTGACGCGGTAGCCGGTGCCAAACTGGTTCTTGAGGCGGAGCGAGGTGCCGGCGGTGGACAGCTGGCCGCCCGACATGATGGCGATGCGGTCACCAAGGACGTCGGCCTCGTCCATGGCGTGTGTGGTGAGGATGATGACGCGCCCAGCCTTTTTGGCCTGGATGAGGTTCCAGACCTGGCGGCGCGAGACCGGGTCCATGCCGGTTGTCGGCTCGTCGAGGAGAACAATGCGCGGGTCGGCGACAAAGGCAATGGCCGTCGAGAGGCGACGGCGCATGCCGCCCGAGTACGCGCCCGATGGCAGGTCTCCGGCGGCAACGAGGTCGACGTCGGCGAGGCGAGCCTCGACCTCGTCGGCAATGTCTTCGTGAGGCACACCCTTGAGCCCAGCGTAGAGCTCGAGGTGCTCACGGCCGGTGAGCTCGCCCCAGAGGATGTCGTGCTGGGGGCAGACGCCCATGACGGCACGGATCTGGGCCATGCCGGTCACGATCGAGTGGCCAAAGATGCGGGCGTCGCCGCCGGTAGGCGCAAACAGGCCCTGCAGCATGTGGACGGTTGTCGACTTGCCGGCGCCGTTGTGGCCGAGGAGGGCGACAAGCGAGTTTTCCTCAACGTGGAACGAGAGGCCGTCGACGGCCTTGAACTCGCGCTTGCGGACCCAGCAGCATCCGCCGCGCTTCGAGTACGTCTTTGCAAGTCAAAGAGCGCGACGGCAGTCGACGATGGGAACGTCTTGTTGCGGGCCATCTCGTACTCGGCGCGGACGGTCGGATCGCGGCGGGCGTAGTAGTCGTCGCGCTCGCGAACAGCGGCCGTGGCTGCACCGGCGTCAACAGGCAGACCACGCCAGTACGAGCGGGTGAACGGAAAGTAGAACGGGCGGGAGACGCCGTAAACCGACGGCAGCACATTGTCCAGGTACCAGGTGAGGAAGCAAAAGAAGAAAAAGTCTGCAATGAGCCACTCGTAGACCGAGACAAGCGCAAAGTCGGCGTTGGAGCTACGCTCCGACCACGACATGCCGTTGTCATCGGCGTCGTCCGACTGCGCCGAGATGTCGGCAATGCCCTTGGAGAGGAGCACAAAGGGGAGGAATGAGAAGAGGACCTTGTACAGCCGGGCGGTCGACGGGGCGTACACCAGTTGCTGGAAGCCCTGCACAATGATGCCCAGCAGAAAGATGACAAAGCCGAGCGAGGTCGCCGTCCGCGAGTTGGAGACAAGCGTGGAGAGGACAAACGAAAGCGGGACCATGGCGAGCGAGAAGAGGAGAAAGAGGAAAAGTAGGTGCCAAAGTCGTTGGCGAGGAAGAACTTGAACTGGAACACCGCGCCCGCAATGACGAGGACAAGGACCGAGATCAGGTTCGACGCCGCGTTGAAGAGCAGCCACGAGAGCCAGTACGACGACGACTTGAGGCCCATGATGTTCATGCCCTCGCGAAGCTTGGCCTCCTTCTCGGCCACTACCCGCCCGAGTTGGATGACAAAGTTGAACATGAGCGCTGCAAAGAAGAATGCCGGTCCGAGCTCGCCCACCACGTCGTACGAGATGAGTTCCGGGTGCGCAAACGGGAGTAGGTCGACCCGGTACTCGAGCCCCGGGTTGCCTGACAGCTCCTCCATCAGCGCCCGCTCCACAGCAGCCTGCATCGGCAGCAGCGTGTACTCGGTCGGGTCGATGGGAAAGCCAAACGAAGTCGTTTCGGTGTAGTTGTACTGGATGGCGTAGCCGACAGTCCGCAATCCGGTCCCGGCATCAGTGGTCACGTTGAAGATGTACCCGCCCTGCGTCGAGTTGCGATTGACGTTGAGGTAGTCATCCATGGCATCCGGTGAGGCAAAGGAGCGGACTTCGCTGCTTGGAATGCTAAATCGGGACTGGATGCGGGCGACGACGGCGGGAGCAATGACGGCCTCGTTGGAGGTGTACACGAGAGAGAGACACGGGCCAGTACTGGCATCGCCTAGAATACAGCGCGGATACGACTGAAAGGGAATGCGATCAGGAGACCTCTCCACCTTGAGCAACTTGTCCAGCCGAGCATTCGCCTGCAGCGCAAACTGGAGCACAAAGAGAAGAACAACAAAGACTAGAGGCACAATGGCCTGCACCACTGTCGACCGGAGGTTCCGCTTGGCGAGGATAGCGTTCTTACGGAGAAGCAACCGCGTCTGCTGCACACGCGTAGCCACACCCTCCTTGAACGACTCCATGGTAGTATGTGTGAGGGGGGGAGGGGGGAGGGAGGAGGGGGAGGAGTGAGTACCTTTGTTGGGGGGCGGCGGTGGTGGGGCGGAGGGCGCGGGGGGAAGAGTGGCGACAGCCATGATCGGTC